GAAAGGGGAAAGTGTGAGTCCAGGTTCTGCTCAAAGGTCAGTGTTAGGATGAGGATCAAGGTCAGGGTGAAATTGAGGTTTGGGTTAATGTCAATGTCAGGATCAGGGTCCTGGTAAGGTTTGACATGCAGACTAGTTTCAGGTTCAAGGTCAGGCTCTATGGTTAGGGTGGAGGACTATGATGGTCCTTGTTAGAGAATTCAATCTCGGGGCAGGGATAGAGTGAAGTTGAGAGTCATAACCAGATTAAGGGTACCAAGAGTCTCATTCGTGATAGTGTTGAGTCATGACCAGTGTAACAAATAGTCATTGTCAAGGGTAAGTCAAGGTCAGGATAAGTATGACAGCCATGTTAAGCATCAGGATCAGGGGCATGATGAGCATCAAAGTATGAATGCCAATCAGAGAGGGTCAATGTTATTGTGAGAGTGATTGGGGAGTTCATGAAAAAGGTTAAGTTCTATGTCAAGTGGGGTCAGTTATGGTGAGGGTCATGGTCAATGCCAAGATCAAGGCCAGGTTTAGGTGGGGAAGGGTCTGACAAAGAATTGGGTGAGGGTGAGTGTATATGTCAGTCAGGGTGATGAATAAGGGTCAGGTTTAACATAAGGCTTAAGGACAGAGTGAAGGTCATGAAAATTGAGCTAGACATTCTGACACAGATGTGGCTAGAGAAACAGGCAGAGGCCCAATCCTGAAAACATATTTAAAGACACATGAGATGGCGACTTTCTCCTCCAGAAAGCAACAACTGGGGTTTGTGTTTTATATTCCCTCTAAAACAGTGACTGGCAATGTTAGTCACCTCTGTCCTCAGTGCTTACACAAGTTTATTCATATGGGGCACAGAATGAATATTTTAAGAATAAGAGTACTATGAATAAATTCCTTTATCTGCCTGTTTTTCTCTATCCTTGAACCAACACCAGTCTCAATTATTACAGCCCTATGCCAAGTCTTGGTATCTACTAGGTAAGCCCTTTCATCATCATTCTTCTCATTTCTGCATCCTCCTTTCAAACCTTATATTTCCATATATATTTTACAACTGTCTTATCAAATTATAATCTAATAGGTAAGCCCTTTCATCATCATTCTCATTTCTGCTTCTTCCTTTCAACCCTTATATTATCATATATATTTTACAACTGTCTTATCAAATTATTAAATAAGAAAACAA